GTGTCCTCCTTGAACCACTGAAACTCCGCCACGGGGACGGCTGAGGCCTCGCACTGCAGGATGCCCTTCTGGCCCACCGAGGCTCCCGTGTTCTTGGCGTTTGAGATGTACGGCGGATCTGCAGAGACGCCACGCAGCATCACGCCGGGCTCCACGCGCGCCCGCCCCGCCACGATTCCCCCATCCCTTGCACTCACAGTTGACGGTGACTTTGACTTTCCGCACGTCCGGGACGGCCACGTCGTTGACGGCACTGCACTCGTACTCCCCGGACTGCTCCCGTGTGATGCCCGTGATCTCCAGGTACTCGTCCTCGCTCACAAAGCCCTGCCCTGGGAGACATCCCAAACGCGTGGCACCATCACCCGTCACCCAAGAAACTCGGAACATCACTTAACAAGCACCCTCACACCAGGACACACCGAAGAGCCAGCACCTCCACCCTCCACAACAGACACCAGCAAACCACGGACCACCTCCACACCACCTCCGCGGGGACATCCGTCCATCCCATACGGGCTGGGTGAGACCCCTCCTCAGACCCGGGCGGCTCGTCCAGCGAGCATGGTCTTACCTTTTCCAGAGAGGTGCCGCCACGTGACGGTGGGCTCCGGTCTCCCGAAAGCCAGGCACATGAGGGTCACGCTACTGCCCTCGTTCACGGTGACGTCCGACGAGATGTTGACGATCTGGGGGGGAACTGCAAGACACAAAGAAGAGCAAAGCCACCATCAGCACAGCAAAGCCCTGGACGTCAGCATCTGCCTCATTGCCCTGTTTGGTCTCCAATCCCACTCCTCCAAACCGGCAGCTCGGACCGGAAACACCCCCCCTCCACGCGGCCAAGACCCCAATAACCGGCTCTCGTTACGGCCCACGACAAGGCTCGTATTTTAGCATATTTATTAAAGCTGTTTAAATTACCGAGCGTCTGCTCAATTCAATACCGGCCACAGTGATTTATATTATTCTATCCCCTGATACTCCATCTAATAAATAACTTGGCAATCTCCACACTCATAAATATCCCCGGCCCTGGCAAACAGCAATTAAAGCCCGCTTGCCGACGCCGCTTCCCGGCACTTGGGGCTGTCGGATGCGGCCCCCGAAAGGGTCTGTGCCCCGGGGAGCGAACGAGGCCGTACGAAACGACCTGTCCAAAACTAAACACCACTCCTGCGATGCCAGAAAGGATGTCCCGCGCCCCCTCCCCGAGCACGTAACGTGCTAAGAGCCCCAGCTCGCGTGGCGTCGCACGCCCAACCCTCACGCCGAGGGCTCTCCCGCAGCGCTGGGATGCCGGGATGATGGCCTGGAAAACACTGTGGGCGACACCGGCACTGCCGGGAAGGGGAGGTGAGGGCTGCCCAGCTCTCCTCTCGCCCCCGGGCACCATCCCTGCCTGGCTGGGGCTGCCGCCTCGTTGTCCCAAATGCCCC